TTATCTTTTCGCTCTTTCAGCACTAATAATCTCCGAGGTCATAGCAAGAAGGTTCATAAACCACGATCTAATAAACTTAAAGTGGGGTCCTGTGGTATCAGCCCCATCAGTGAATACTTTTATGTAAAAGCTGGACCTTCACTGGAAAGCAATGTGTCAGGATTAATGCAGGTTCACCAACCTACTATCCTCATTACTGAAGACTGAATAGGTCACATCGCGTAATTATGTGCACAGATACCAAACCCTGACTACAATGATGTGCATGAGTTTTTCAGTTGTGAATTTGACGTTGAGTGTATACGCATCAACTGTTTGCGAACTGAAAAACATGAATTCTGTGCAGGTTGTTCATCATCGGGTTTCAATAAATTCGGAATTCGTTTTACTGAATACCATGCAATTTGACTGAAGCAAAATATTACTCATGTATGACTAATTTCATGATGAAGCAGCTGTTCATAGCATGAAAACTTTTAATGGCAATGTATGTTTACTGTGGCCTCAAACAGCAAAAAACGTCCACCCGCTTCTGATAGCATAACATTCGTCACTCTAGTAATTTGTCCGACTATTAAGTCAATGCTGAAGTCGTGTTTCATATCTCGAACTGATGATAAATTTGGTTTCTAGAAGTGCTGTGGTTGATCACTAACCTGCCACAAAACTTCAAAAAACAAGAGATTCCCGTGCAAATCAGACGTTAGTAGTTATCCATCAGGATATTGTCTCACTGATAATAATGTTATCCCACAATTTAGTCCAGTAATCTGAAATAATAAGGATTTTAGCAGACGTTACGACCGTAAAAATAAAGTTTTGGTGACTAAAATAACTTAACACTATTAAAGACAATATGCCAAGCCTAACCAAAAACTGAAGCGTTACTTGTTACACATATCGTATAAACATGTAGTTCTTTTAATGCTCTGTTGTAATTGAATACTCAGGGTCGTTTGCCAAGTTGGAAATTGGTTGTATGTCGGTGGCTTCATGGTACCTACAGTTATTTGTTTGTGATAACCTTGATTTTGAATTTATTTTTGTCTGACCTATTGATGCTAAGCAATGGGACTACAATTTAGGGACGATGTTTAAGTGATACTGCAATACATGATTTCGCGCAAAGGTCCAAGGCTTGCTATTTTAAATCTCATTGGTTTGTCCATTGATTTTAGTCTCTCTCCTCATCGACTGATTATCAACCTTCACACAATACTTAGGTATCCAAGCTTGTATCCAATATGAGTAATTACCGCTTTAGTACTGTTCCACAAACAGTTCTTCCTGTTCGAATAATTGGGTGGTGTTTTCACGGTTTTCGTTCTACTTCTGAAAAATAATGCACAGCGAGCTGTTGTACAATATACTTGCTCGTTTGTAAGATCATGGACAAATGCCGGATGAGAAAACCCAAATAAACCATATCTACATGTAAAGATTCTCTACCCTAATAACTAGCCAAGTCTGACTGGGCTTTCAAAATAAGTTCAGTATTCTGTACTTTTTGTCAATATATTGTGCTCTTGGGTTAGACACTGTGATAGGTTAATCTCCAACTAACATTTCGTATTTGAAACCAAAGAAACAACCTGAAAATTCTGGTATTACAATCTAAGATGTACAGTAACCCCTAGATCTTGTCAACTTCCACATCAAACTGGACAATGCCAACAGGTGATTCTATCGTCAGAATGTTAGCTCTTGTAGAGTTAGACGAAAAAAACCACCTTTATACAACTTAATACTTTAAACCAATATGTCGGTTCATGTAAAAGGAAAAAGTGATATATTTAAGATGGTGCTTACTAGTGAATGGTTGAGAGAAAATGCAGATAATGTGTTTGGAAGAAAAAACAGAAGTCACAGTGCTCGAGAATTATGTAATAATAGGTCGCCGCTTCTGACTGATATATCCTGAAATCAGTCGTACTGGTACTAACTAGTCCCCTAATGTCATCCCATGCTTTTGATTCTTCGCTTTTGTTTGTTCTCTTTGAAATATATTCCCTATGTTTAGCTTCCCATAGGGAATGATATTTCCTCTTCCTGTTGATTTCCCATCTCGCTGTGGTGGTTTAGCTATAAATATTTATGAAACGTCTCATACTAATAAGCGACAGCCATTTAATTTGGTGAGTGCTCACAGCATCATTAACTGGTTTTCCTAGTGCCAGTATTCCCAATTTAATCGTCTCAAAATATACAAGTAACGCTTTAATGACACAATTGAGTATTCGCAACATGTCTTCAACCTATTTATTTATTGCGACTGTAAAGCAATGTAGGAGTGATGGATGGTATAATTACTTTTAGTATGTAGATGATTTTGGCACAATCGGTACTAAAACTAGCTAACCTGTTTCACTTTTTAACGGCGTCAGCGAGTAGTTCTTCACACAAGATAATTTATATTATGTATTTAGAGAAAATCTGACCATTGAACGTACTCATTTTTATTGTTCAGCAACGATTTCGGTCGAATTTCCGCTTGGACACTCAATTAGCAACGTCACTTCGTATTATTTGTCCACTTAACTAACCACTCAACCCCATCTTTTGGTTATGTGTATTTCGAATAAAACGTAATTGGAGGTTTCGGGGGTAGTCTACTTTTTCTACCTAACGATATACTATTTTGTGTATGTAGTCCGACTGCTCAACACTTTGCTTGGGAAACTGTTTAGTAAATTCCTGTTTCTGTAGTCTTTTGTTCTTACTTGTTTTGTCGCTGTACTGTTGTTTAGTGAAGCTTATCATTTATTATTACCATCGTCGTATTAGGGTAAACATAAATCTTGCACATTTTTCCACCATACTATTGCAGCAGCTAGTATTCGTCAGTGTAACAAGCAGCTATCAAACGATCCTAGATTTTTGAATTTATCGAAACTTAACAGTTCCCACAATCGCTTAGTTTTCTTTTGTATGTTCACAACGCAATAAAAAGTCCGTATAACGTTATACTTGCGACGTCTAAACTTACAAGCTGTCGGGTTGTATATGAAATAATGCTTTAAAGTGCATTTGAATGGTCAGTTCCCATTGAATTAATCGGCTTCTAGTCACGAGATTATAGGCTCATACCTCTTTAGAGTTTGGGTCCTAGAATACCACCTAGCCTCATACAAATGTTGTTAATAGTTTAGTATTAGAACCTGCACAGGTATATCGTTATTCACCAAACTATTTTCGTTTTAGGCAATGCCTACTCGACATTGGAAAAACTCAGCCGGAGACGAGGTAGAATTTGAGGTGGAAGATATACTAGATATGCGTACAATCAATGGAGAACCAGAGTACTTAATCAAATGGAAAGGACATTCTCCGTAAGTGGTAATGTTATTTCAAAATGACCATCCAGTTCAAAAAATACTTGGGAACCACAGTCCAACTTAAATTGTCCAGTATTGCTCAGGCGTTTCCTCGATAAACACGCAGCCATTGAGCCAACAGTAGCTACTATTGTAAGAAGTGATACTTTTGACGACATATTTGCAGCCTGAAGGCTCTGAACCGTACGGGTTTGATCGAGGGCTAGCACCTGACTTTATCAATATGGTTACGAAAAAGGACAATGAACTGTATTTCCTGATCAAATGGTAAAGAATTGCTTGCATAACTCATCAGTAAATATTAGGAAAGGAAGTCAAGTCCGTGATGTAGTACCTGCTGCTCAAGCAAACATTCGGTGTCCACAAATTGTTATCAAATTCTACGAAAGCATTTTGCATTTTACTTGAACTATCTGACCTAATCAACTCTGTTTTTATCAAAGATTTAGTGTACGTTGATTTCTATTGTGTTATATTTTTGAAAAATAATCAGATAAATTGTTATATACAATTAAACTTAGTATTTTCTGTACAAAAATTAGAAATATATAAAAGATAAAATAGTCTGGTAGATATTGAGAGCATATACTTTCGAAGAGAAGCTTGTAAGGTTTTCTTTATCTCTATGCTTGATTGAAGTGGGCAATGAGATCATCCTTTTCTTGTGTCGTCATTTCGTGAACAAATACAGCATTTTCCTTTGCGAGCTGTCTTATCTGTAACAAAGTGAGGAAAAGCGGTTATGAAATTTTTTTAGCTCAAATTACGAATACAATCGTAAATATCATTGATCATCCGTAGAGTAATCAAATTCAAATACATATGAAACGGAAGATGTTACTCAGAGTTGGTATTCGTGATCCATTATCTGAATGTCATATGTCATAGACTTATATTAAAACTTCAGTGAATACCATTCGATTAACGAACGTGAACAAAGAATTGTTTTCTATGGATATAGTGTTAAGCATATATTTCGACTCTTATCTGAGGCTCCATTGTTTACGGAGTATGGATACTCCAATCGTAGTAACCTATTTCGCACTCTAATAATCCAGTTTGTTATGTTTGTAAGAAGCTTGAGAAAATGCAAGTCTTGCTATCCGCTGTAAGTTTCATTTGGGTCCTAATGTGGTATCACATAATCGTATATAATCAATAAATACTTATCGTCCGGTGAACTTTTAGTGTGTTAATAACGAATGGATATAGCCCTTGCCGTTTGATAAAAGTTTAAAAAGAATTGTCCAGGTACACATTGATCCAATAGAAAGAGGTTTAAACTACCAAACCCATCTTAGTTAAGACAAATTATAAAATCAAACTATAAAAGCAACAAAAGAACATCAACTAAGTGGGAGTAATACTGTTATACAAGGGTTAGAGTGGTGGTGGCTCAGTAGTTAAGGGGTTCGACCAAACAACTAAGCCACAGGTCCGAAACCCCCTTCACCTACTCTAGTTTTGGGGTCGAGTAGCACCACTAGCCTTCATATTCAGAATACCTCTCGAAGCCAAATATCAGGCTAATCTGTTGACACAAACATAAAAGCATTGAAAATAAGTAAGGCATATCAGTAAGACTTAACATACTTCATTAATTTCAGCGATTTCCACCAGCGGTGCATCTATGATTGACGCAGGATTTCCAAATGTTCTTGGCAAAAACACTGGCAACGGTGGCGGGCCTAAAGGCTGTCGAGCTATGCTTTCTCTAAAATTATACAAAATGGTTGATATTACGACCTTGAACCGAGCGAAGAATGTTTCCTTCATGATGATGTCAATTAACTAAGCTGTCAAGAAGTATAAATAATTATACGGCATACGCAGTAGCGTACTGTGGGACGAGTAAGTTTTGCATCATGAAGTATTTAAAAATCTACATGTCAGAAACAAGCATAGGAAACCAAATGTTTTTAGAAAAACGTGTAAAGATGGACGTATGAGAGTTAATTTGCTTACAACAGGAGACATTGTAATAAATGAAAAATTAGAAGGGGACTAGAATTATTATAGAATAGGATGAAGATATCACTTCTGGATACACGTTTCAAAATTTCTTTGGTGAGTTGCTAAGGCTTCAATGGTAGGCAAGTTTCATATCTTCATTTCGAGTTACTAAATACCCTTACTTCGTCGACTTAATTTGGTAGTGATAATTGACTTTACATAACTAATGAAATAAGAGTTTTCGTACCCAGATCAAAGTCACACTTTACGAGTTTAAACTGAAGTTTAGACTCAGTCGAATAGTTGAAAGTCAAGTGTCTCAACTATTATTTCGCAACTTCTAAAATTGGAAATTTGATATGAGTGTTTCTTAGATATAGTACATATTTCCTGTATGTTATAAAAATAGATAACGCGCAAAGATATGCAAATGATCGCTAACCAGTAACGGTATTAAGCCATTGCACTTGGTGCAATCCACGTTTTAGTGATAACATTCATGCTGTACATATCACTCATTTATGCCTGGACGCCAAACAATTGATAAAGTAACGAGGAATTGTTAGAAACTTACGCGTAGTATCTTGACCGTTCAATATGTTCTTGTGAATCTAGGGGATTGTAATCTGTTGCTCCAGCATCCACCACTTGACTAGTTAAAAAGGTCAGGTGAAATAAAATTATTAAACTAATACACGATTTTGGAGCAAAAAAACATTGTTTCTATCGAAAAGCATCCAATCTTGAAACAATATCGCACATGGTTAAACTTAATCAGATGGCAGGTAGTGTCGATTGATCGAAAGACTTATGAAGTAATACAATTCTGAGCTATAAGTGTTTAAAAATAATTGAACCTTGTTTAGAGAATACACTTATAAGACCATGTGTGAGATTTACCATGTCACTGCCCAAATGATTTGGAAAATCAGTGAGATAATGCACATGGTCACATATATTTACAGGGTCTGTATGGCAGCTGTAAATCATGTTAACTACTCCTCACAATATTATATGACACTTCATGGTTATTCTGCAACACGATTTTGTCTTGTTAATGATTTATACAATAGATTTTCTGATTATCTCTCAGTTTTTTGCATGTTAAAATGTGGGACTTAAGAGTCGTCATTAGTGTGTTCGTACAAGTGAATGCCTTGAACATATTCAAAATTACTGTTTAAAAGTATGTAGGCCACTAAAAACATTATGTAAAAAAGGATCCCGAAGTTTCGTGAGTTCGAACTCTCATAGATCAGCAGCTAAGAATCATATCATTCAGACTAAACATCATCGTCATGCTTCTTAATGATACGAAAGGGGAATGTTACGACGGTTTGTATTGCTTTTCCCTACCAGCTTATTAGAACCAAGACCTTATATAATGAATTTCGAAAAAAAAACGATTTAATTACTGCAATATACGATAATGCGTTTTTATTACCGAGTAGCTCAAGGGGTTCAGGAACTGCTAAACAGCAAACCAAATATTTGCGAAAAATGTAATTAGTTTTTATAGACTTCTATTACTATTATCACATTCACGGACGAATTAATTTTTAATTTGGATGACTCACTTCTCAGCAACTTTTATTATATTTGTCATCATGGTATTGATATCTGACTGAGGTTCATTTGTAACAGGATCTGGAGGTGAAAAACTGTAATTTAGAAAGTAGACAATAAAATTAAAAAGACTTTTATCAATATAAGATCGAAGATTTTACATCAACTCATAATAATTATCAGTTATGATCTTAAGAGTGATCTTTGTAGGAAGTTAAGTCGAAGTTCATAAAATATTTTCGGAGTTGAAAACAAAAGAAGAATCAGTACAATGAATGGGCTGGTTTAATACCAGTAAACTGAAGCTCACTGTGATATTGGAACAGGGTGATTTATGATTAACGTGTCATACCTGTTGCACATGTGGTGACTGAGTAGAAAAGTTTCAGAATTTAAACTGATAAGTACTAGGATAGTCTTAGTAAGTATGCACACTGAGGTGTATGTAAATAAGGTCGAGATCCTACTGGGACTAAGCGTGAGCCCTAACTCCATGGCGAATAACGTATAAATACACGAATTATTGGGGCATTTATGTTCAGCTAGCCTATATTATCAATCCAATCCTGAATACTAATCAGGGGAAAAATCAAACTCTTACAACTGATAATGGGTAGCATTTGTAACGGATCAGTACGAAACCGAAAAATCACCCAAACTCAAAGTTAACGACCAGAAGGTTGACAACTATATGATGTGTCTTTTGCTTGATATGTTTTTTACACGGAGACACTAAGAAATGAGTTACACTGCTGATCTGTTTCTTCACAATTCTTGTCCTTTTTTCTTGCCATAAATGCTATATGGTCCTAATAGTAGTGAAACCGTGACAGGTGGTTCGTTTCAAGGATAATCAGTCAAAAATTCAGATAACCATTTGACTTATTGTATATACATGACGAAAAAGATCTCTTTAATAAGAACTATGAAATCATTTACATGGAGGAAAGACTTTCCACATCACTAGTTATATCAGGAAGACAAGAATTTTATTGTAATAAATAATAAAATTATGAAATGCGTAATATTGCACTTATCAAAAATTGAATATTAGGGTTATTATTAAACGACATATCACACAAAGTAATATCAAGCCATAAAAATACAGAAAGAAATATAAACATTACATCACTACTGATCAGACAGTGAAAACAGTTAAGACTATATTCAAGAAACCCTCTGTTGTTCTCCAGATCTTTTGTGCTCACGGAAAACCCACAACTATTGACTTCTTTGATCAAGCTCATTAAGCTTTTCAGATCTTTGAATCTTATTTAGTAGTTGATACCAAAATATGTACTAATCTTTACAGGAAACTATTTTATGGCAAATAGTAGTTAGTAAGTAGATTTTGATTCATACAGCATACAAGGGTCACCAACACTTATCTAAAGGTAAATAAATGTTTGTAGTCGGTCTTATTGTTATTAGGTAAATACGAATGGTCTTAGTCAATGGCACAAGATTCTAGCCTGTTGTTCGACTCAACATAAGTTCCAAACACTGAAAGTTCCAAGGTATAGTTTGGTTTTAGAAGACCAGGAATAACACTTTTTGAACGCAAATAGTTAGGACTGGTGGGACATAGAGGCAAGAATAAAGCTATGGGAGAAGAGCTGATAATAGAGACAGCATAAATAATAAGAGACGAAAGAACTTGGTTGTAGAAAAGGTTGTCTTGAGTGGTATCGGAGAAGTGTGGGCTGTTTTAACTCCTCGATTGTTTACATTGTGGAAAGGAACCTATTTTCGGAGTATCTCAAAAAGAAACTGGACTAGTAGTGATCGTGGAAACCTAGGAGTATATTACAGAGCTAAAGGCGCAACTGTTCGAGGCGAGTCACACACAGGCCTTTTGAGAGACGTTCCTGATATGTTAGTTCTGTACGCCAAATACTTTACTGCCAGAGAAATCCATAGAGTATGGTGAGGTATACTACTTTTAGGATCAGCCTTTTCTAACCCTTTCCTTTCGTTGTGAAAAGGCAAAATCGCTGCAGATGCTGGTTACCTGAGAAAAACACTACTGTCGTAACACCTCGGTACAAACGAAAGGTAGGGTTTACCATGAGACAATAAATCGCTACTTTTAGTTTTGCTGTTATCCAGTCGACCTTTCTAGTATGGTTGGACATACAGGAACGAGTGTCCGAGCCAATAAACTCGACTGGATTAGCATGCTGTGTAACCTCTACTACTTCACTAAGACAGCAGGTACGGTTGGGTACGAATGATCTGAAGAAAAATAATGGTTAGTAAGGAGATAGTAAAATTACACCACATACACAACTCAATAGATGAGCATAGCAAATGAGTCAAGAATTTGTATACCTTCCATATGGTTGCTGTGTCCCATCGTATGAAGGCTGGGGGCTTGGAATTAATCTCTGACGTTCAGCTTCCTCATCCTAAATTTGCATCAGTAAAATTAACCGAATAAATACAGTGGTATGAATATAATAAACAATAACATATAAGGTGAAAATGATATGTTAACTGGTGTTTAAAAGTTGCTACAGGACCTTTTTACTTAATACACAATTAACCGCATAAACTCGAAAACACCTTTGAATTCTAGTTTGAGTAAGTACTAATATATCAGTCTTTTCTACCTAATTAAAAAATCGTCTCAGATGTACTACGACTGCCTGTTTAGGTTTTCGGACCCAGAATCTAGAGCAAGTACGAAGTAATGAGAGAATGACTGAAACTGTAGTCTTAGATCAACAACGTATACTATGATTAAAAAAATTACACAAAACCCAGACGTAATTATTTACTTGGTCTTATTTATATCAAGTGATTATTAAGCAATCGGTAACTAATTCAGACAGGTAGCAATTGGCTGGAGTAGAGGAATGTGCAATGGTTCATTCGTTGCACTACTGGTTAGAAAATAATCTTATGCTAGTCGGCGTATAGGTAAGATAAGATCTAAGCTAGGCAAAGGAAAATACAGTACGTATTGATGAAGCCCATGAGTAAACGCCTGAGTGGTTTGCGTAACTGAAGATTCCTCCCTTACAGTTTGTAGACCTTAGGTATCGTTAAGATAAGTATGGACCCATTTAACCTTGGTTAGTGTAGTGAACACCATTTTAATATTTATCTATTAACTATCCAACAATTCTTAAACCTTTTCTTTTTGAACGTCCTCTTGATTTTAGTGATACGTTTCCTGTGATATTCTAAACTAAGGATGGATTTAGAGAGTAAAATGTGTTCATCCTCTCATAACTGGACCATAGATTCTTTTTTGTTATTTTGATTTAACTGATATAATGTACTGTTCTATATTTACATCTCACAACAAAAGTAAATCCTAAAACAATCTGAGGCTCATACTATCCATACAACGAGGCTTATAAACCCTTAAATAAGTGAATATATTTTTCGACGGAACGTGAAAACCAATAACACATGCACTATGCTTCACACCAAAGATGAGTTTGATAACCTAATGAATGCAATTAAACAGTTATTGAACCGTACCGTGTTTGAGAAGATTGCTTGTACCGTACGTGGTAAGACTCGAACGATTTTTCAAGACAGAACTTAGTTATTCATTAATGAACCAGTAGTAAAATGACCTTTAGGTTATTACGAGTGGAAAATTGTCTGATATCTGAAGTGTTAAACCTATTAGGCGTAGAGTAACTTTAATTGTGTGTTAACAGATAATACTGTCTAGAAGTCCTAATATTTTTCTCTATACTGAGTGTCATTTAGCAACGTAACAATAACTTAATGTGTCGACTACCTGTAATGTCTTTTAATATCTCTCCTGAATAATACAAGGTTAAAGAAGTGGTCTGACCATTCAGTATATCAATGTAAAGTCGCAAATAAGCGTATCGATTTAAAAAGTCACACTTTGTCACAGCACAAGAAGAGAAAATCAATAGAAATGAACTGCAATTCACATGAACTAAAAGCATATAATAAATCACACGACCTTCCCCCATCCACTAGCAAAATAGACATGTATCAATCAAATCCATTTTAAGCACTATGTTGCTATTGTAGTGTTTATAAGACAATATTTTTCACCCGTTTTTAAAACAGTATTACGTCATTCAGGCATTTCAGGAGCTAGACAAAAATGTGTTACAACCAAAAGTAGATTCATAGCACTTGGAAACATAAGAAGAAAGTATAGATTATGAACCTAATAGATTATTTTGCATGATGGCTGACCAAAATATTTAAAACGACCGAAAAAGTTAAAGTAAAACGCTCTTAGTTGTGTGATATAGCCGTTGGGTCATTTTTTGATTGGTAGGCTATTCGTGTATTACAAACAGTCAGATGATATCTTCATGTACAAAAGATATAGCTAGAACTGTATGATAGTACTTATTTGCTAAAGTCTGCTAAGAAAGATAAAGTGGGTACATAACCAATCAATACCGGGACTAGTCGAATTTTCACCCTTCAGTTGGCTAGATGGTGATAACGGATCTTACATTAGTAAAGCAAAATATTTAATGGTTATCATCTTATCCTCGGTCTCTAGAAAACTGTTATGACGCACCGCATCTAAGAGCCCACACTGATACGTACTCTCCTTACACACAAGCTCGGCTACTCGAGAGAAAGAAGGTTAATTGCTTAACCGAATCGACTGCATTTGCGCTCACTAATATGTATTGTCTCGAAGGAAATTGAGCCTGGTGGCATATGTTTCATCCCTTGGAAAAAATATCGATTCTTATTCAATCACATGGACTTGTCGTTTGGCGATTTCCGATTGAGTCACTGTATTAGATTTACTAAGCGGAACGGTAAACGACTAAGACTAGTTAGAAAATGTTATATTCGTCGAACATTTCATTCAAGATAAATAAAGCGGGTAGCCCGCATAACTACTACTTCATTTAGCTGAAGTGAGAATCGACCAGTCCTAAAGCATTATTGCACATTTAAGAGAAAAGTACTTGATATATTCACAAACTACTGTCTGTAGTAGGATCTAACAAGATAAGTAACATAAACAGGAATATCGACTACATGTAATTATTTTGACTGATGAAAAAAGAAAGCTAGATGGGTAAAAGTTGATATGATAAGCATCAATAGTTTAAAGCTCCGTCTTTCAGTTAATCACAGAAAAAATACCCTGGAACGGTCTGTAACCATATTAACTGAGGTATTCCGACTGAGTCATAAAAACGACAGTGATATTTCATGGGGTGTGCAAATAGATTATAAGGGAATGTAAAGTAAAATGATAGGAAAACTTGATAGTTACCGTTCAGTCTTCTAGAAGACCAGAGTGGTGAAGACGAAATCGAAATTAGTCCTATAGATTTCGGGAAAATCAGAAAGTTGAAACTACTGTACGTAGTAAATAAGTTAAAAGTACATGCAGATGATCTTTAGGGAAGATCTCTCTCCATTTGCGCACTTTGCATAGGATAAGTCTGGTGGACTGGTAAATGTTTATGACGTATTTAGATATTGGCTTCTATCACTAGTTTTTGAAGGGAACTATAGGAAGTTTATATCAAGTTAGTGAAGCTAACTTTCCCACTTCCTTAACACTGAAAATAATTAAACTATGGAAACCAAGCTCAACAGTACGGTCAATGGTGCTGCAATGAATAGAAACGGATAACAATTAGTTGTTTTTAATATTTATACTCATTTATGGCCACTAATTTTTTGACTGACAACTAATACACCCATATTTACTTCGTCGAATAGCTTAAGAGTTCCAGTTTTCTGACATATTTTCGTTTGAATGGTGATTCACTTTTCTAAAATCTAATTAGTTAGGGTGTGGGGATTGGTTCTGAGTAGAATTGTTCAGCCCGACACCCTAAGCTATTAGACCATCGTATATGAATCAATCAAGATAGCTCTGTTCTCCTATTCAATATTGCAACCAACATTTGTCTGGAGTGTAGATTATTTGATTTGCAGAGAAATTTAGATCCCTATTTATCACTGATTGGTAGAAAACTACGGTGTCACTTATTTTACGGTACTTAAAAACTGATTACTTCAAGAATATCCTGTGGATACTTATACGTAGAAACTACGGATTTATCAATATTGATTAATTCACCAATCGCATTGTTTACTACTTAGATGAAACAGAGTTTATTATGAAGATTATTAACGTAATTTGTGGTTATCCTTAGAAAAGAAAACACAGCTTTTGGTGTACATGTTTAGCTGTAGTTGTGTGAAGTCATTAAATGCCGACAACTAAGTTGTTTTCTCGCTCCTCTCACAAATTGTATCAGCACTTTTCATGGGAACTTTTCTAGAACTTGAACACGAAGATTCTAGATATCTAAGAGGTTTTGATACAGCGTTGGCAGATTTCGCTCAACAGACCAACGGAATCGATCTAACAGTGAACACTAGTGACGGGTTCAAAGTACAGTTAGAATTAAGATGACACAATCAAATAATACTACCATCGCTATTAATGCATAATGTATAGTAGTCAGTTTTGTACGCTAAGTTTAAGTAGTACGGAGATTATCAAGAGATTAGCACTCGGTCCTTAAACTATAAGGATAAAGGTACATTTGACGCGGGAAGCTCATAAAAATGGTTAATTACGGGTTTTATAGTCACTGCACTCGTCTTCAATTAAAAAATCAATTGTTAGCTAAGTTATCGCTCCATGAACGAATTTCTTGTTTGCGAGCATACACACTGTTCAAGTGAACTGAAGTGAAACATGGTATTTTTCGGAAATTACAACAAATTTTAGAAACGCAGCATACTGTAACAATTATGCTATTAATACAATTTATTAGGTACGCGAATATAAACTATGCATAATACTTTGTATACCAAAAGTGTGGATGGATGACGATATATTCAAGTTTGAAAACAGCTATACACACACACTTTGGTAGTATCAAGCGGGTTAACAGAAAGATAATTAGTAGACGTCGGAATTGCAGTTGTCAAGTGACACAGTAGTACCAACGAACGCAAAGAACCTGCTAGTGGGCTTAGCATTCAGTCAAAGGGCTTGGAATGATTGAAAGTACTGACACCGGTGTATCAGTTAACTTTATCAAAAAGTTATATTTAATCTACAGAGTCTGCTTTCGTGTTCATCAGCCACTAGCAATTAATCATTGAGGATATTACTTCCAATTACGAAAACATTGAATCACTAACTTTAAACTGTATCTTTCCAGTTTATGTACCATCACTGATGTCAACATTGGACGACTAGTTCTAACGCGGTTACAACAAAATAGTATTCACTTTAAAATCACCAGATAAACAGGATGATCTATGGAGAAAGTAAGCATTACGTACTTGCAAGTAAGAAACAAATCGCAACCTTCGAGTGTTGTTCATCTTGTAATTTAAGCGGCCTTACGCTGTTGATCCTATAATAAATCTAAGAACGGGAAACATACACAAGTGAGGAATCTAGTAGAGTAAGATAATCTGGTTCTGAATAACCGTGAACATCTTGGAAACACGGGGATCAAAACAAAGTCGTATTAGCCTTCTGTCCATAGAAAGATAGGTATAAGGATTAACTGAGAATGTTTGTGTGAATCGCAAAGCATTTAAAAGTTACCAACAACTGCTGATATATGACTCAAACTTACTTTGGTTACTTATAGTGTTTCACCGGATCATTTGTATAATAATGTTGAGTCCCGAGATTATATCGTAAAGTAACATTTCACACTAAGTACTACAACTCAATAATTCTGCCCTAAGCAATAAAACATACAAACTTAATGGCATTTGACTAGACTAGACAGAAGATGACTCGAAATAAACAAAAAGGTTTTTTCAAATTGTTTTAAAATCGTTCAGTACTCACTTCGTCACTTCCTGAATTTGCACAAAGACCACAGCACCAACTCACCATGCGTCTAAAACACTGCATTACTATAGAAAACGTCACAAAAGTAATAAAAAAGAATAACGTGTTGTAATTATTTTATTTTATTATCTGAACAGGTACAACCATAACTGATAAGTCAAAAAGTAATCACCAGGCTCACTCAGTGGCCATACCTGAAATGAAACATAGTACAGAAAAAGCTATTACTTACTTCTGCAGTTCCCATTCACGATTGTCTAGAGGGCAAACTTGTCGTGTTTTCAACCATCGAGATATACAGTGAAAATGAAAGGCATGCTTTGTGGAAGATTAAATTTTACAAAATTCAACTCACATTACAAACACCCCAAGCAACAGTGCACTCTTCACTTGTAGCAGAGGCGTGGTTAGCTTGACATTCAATACCTATTACGTATATTATGAGGAGAGAATAACCCAAGCAAACATAAGTCCATTATGTGATTTCGGCAGATAGCACAATTATCAACGACGATATCCCAAGCCCATAAAGCAACCGCATACCACTTTTTTATTTCGAAACGTTTCTTATTTTCACTGAGGGATGCCACTGGCCCTGTATCATCAACTTCCATTTCTGACATCGCGCGCTGAAAATCTTTCAAGATTGCCGGTTTTACCAGTAATATTTAACAAACCAACACCCAATCGACAGAAGATCTGTGATCCATATCTTTCTATTTTTGGTAAGTTTATGTGAATGTCTAGTCTCCTCTTCTACTATTCATTTGAGAGTGTGGACACTATTTCTTCTGGTTACAGGCGCCAAGAGTTGATAAGAGTTGATGGAGAGTAGTACACCACTGATGTTTTGTCCTAGAACTCTGGAATTGAAGACGCAGCTTCCGTCATTAATTTTTTCCAAGGTATATGATTCGCTTTACAAACAGCGGCTTGCAGCTCAAACAGTTTTCAATTTGGGATTTCACTGGGTGTATTGTTGTGGAAATACTAGAATCCAACTTGATAAACCTCTGTTTTAAGGCTTATAGAGTTATGAACACCTTAGCATCAACCGCACAGAGTTGGGTCATGGTCTTAAGACCGTGGCTCACTGACTCCTCCTGATCCTTTACTTATTCGCTTTTGTATCCCCAGTAGGCATACGGAAACACTTTGTGGGGTTGACAGGTATCAACCATTTTTTGAAGGAGTCAATCAGAACACCTAAGCGAGTATACGCATCTGCGTCTCCCGTTATTTTTACCAAATTTTTACATAACCAGAGTATAGTAGCGTCGGGGAATCGAGTATACTCAGTAGTTCATTTACATATAGAATGAGAAGCAAGGCTCTAGAGCCTTGGATTATCACACCGAGCACTGGTTTCCATAGGGAGGATCTACAATTTACTCTTACTTTCAGTCTGCAACCTACCAAGAAATCTTTTATCCATTAAAGAAGTCCGATAATCTCCAGATTTAAATAAAGGGGTAAATGCTTTGGTAGCGAAAGGGGAAATAAAGGTGAAAACGCGCCAGAATGTCGCCTTTTTCGCCTATCCGGAGGAAATAATGCGGATTTCCCCCTTTTACCCGCTATGTCGATAAATAACCGACTTTTCGCCTAAATATCCGCTAAATTGTCGAATGTTCACCTAAATATCCGCGGATTTGCCTACTTTTCGCCTAAAAATCCGCGGAATTGCCCACTTTTCGCCTAAACACACACAAAAGTGTTTATGTCTGATCCATTGGCTTAACCCCAAAGGTCTCGTATGTTCACCTTTTGTTTCAACAACAGACCAGAAATAAAGTCAACTGCACTGGAAAATCGGTATACTTTTAAAAATCTTATTTAAAAGGAAAAGCTTATTATTGTACAACATTATAGCTGAAGCTTCAGCATAGATTGTTTTTCATTTTCATTGTAACTGCTAATTTATTGTTATTTGACAATATCTGCAAAAGAAAGAACAGGTGATGTATTATTTATAAGGAATGTGCATTTAATCACTAGTTCACTAATAATCAAACAATTTCTCAATACTTCAATATCTTCCCATGCTAGTAAAAAGGTAAGCTGTGCCACCGAAAAATGTTTATTAAAAATCCGGTATAACAAAAAGAAATTGAAAGGACGTTTGCCTTCAGCCACGTATGTTCGGCTATTGAAAGTTAAAGCAGTGTTCCTGTGAATTCTGAAATGTCCAAAAAAAACAAGTCACAAGGACATCTGAATGAGAGGCTTTGGCACAGCAACATACTTTATGCGAAACTTACGGTTATGTCCGTTAACACTGATGACTGTAACTATAGAGCCGTAAGGTAAGTTATCACTTACAATTAGCACGTACCTGCTCTTCTTTCTTTCTTTTACGCTTTATCACTTTGTCTCTGACATCGTGAAAATAACCTTGTGTGGCTATGTCGTACAGCTTCGCAAAGTCTTTTTCGTTCACAGAGGATGATAGAAAACGATTTGTTAACGCGCCTGAAGTTTAAATACTAAATATGAGTTACTTCGTATGCAGCCGTAAAACTGGCATTTCTGAAGTTCTCATTTTGAAGAGGTGCCAAGTAACGTGAATTTACTGGCAACCTCAGGTGTTAATAGGTGCGACAGAACATACCGCATAGATGTTTTCGGATCGTCGCTTGGTAGCCTCGTAACCGTTGCCATCTGTAATAGGAATAAATTATTACTTTAATGTTGATGACTTACAAATCGGTCCCTGGTTTCTTGATGCTGCAAACTAGTGTCCAGCATTTGCAGTTCCTCTTCAGATGACAAAGGGAACTGCTGACTCGAGATTCCGCAATCGAATTGATACGGTTGTTCCCGTTCATTGGACTTACATAGCAATTGCCTAACGTTAATACTTAAGTCCGTAATGGCTGTTGACATTTTCTACAGCATTTTACTGAAGTCAGTCATAGTTGACGAAATGTTCTGCACCATTGTATACAACCTATCGAACCTGAAAAAGTGCACTTGATGATGCAGGTGACTTACTGGTCCGCTGTAGCACCACCGACACGCTTAGATTCCGATGTTGACGGTGATGTCTCTAATTGCGTCGAACTAATTCGTGAACACTTAAATAGTAATGAAACTTACTTTGCAATCGGCGAGACGAATTTGTCAAACAACCGGAATTTCGGATACTGAACATGACTATTTTCAGCCTGCATGTCAGCACCATCCATGTCTACTGAATTGTGAAGAAATTCTTCTTTGCACGTCACTAAACCTAGGAAAATGATCCGTCCTAGTATAGGCCATAACTGTTGATTGGAGCTTCTGGACATAGAAAGTCCATCTATATTGATATATAGATTTAAAGAGTCAAAATCAATAGTACACAACCAAAGCTCAACGTATCTTAGCAGATTGGTTTTGAATCCTAGATGGCAGTAAATCCCACTGCCGATGAACTTTGGTTGAACACCTGCACACGTCTTTAGGACACCTCTGATGCTTTTCGGTATGTCCGTGATAAGAAATCGTAGACCATACAGAACCCGATCAGCATCTCTTATGCTCAGAGATGTATTTGACATTATATACATCATAAAGTCGTTCATCAGTTCTTTGCGATTCACGAACTTTTGATAGCACAAGTTCACTTCAGTACATCCTATAAGAACTATATTCACGTATGAATTCAATGTACATACCACTATTATCTGAAAGCCTTTGATTGATGTTGCTGGTGGATGGAGTAATAGTCGAAGTACTGTCATTACAACTGATTTTTCTCTTTTCTTCTATCAATTTAATAAACAGCATTGTTGAACTCAGTTACCTTTTAGGGTGCTTTCATTAGCAAACTCACTAAACGAAAGAAAGTCATATTTTTTCATGAAAGCAGCTCTCATTTTCTTCCACCTTCTGTTATAAGTGGATCTATGACAACCAAGGGAACGTCACAAGTTCACAGTTGTCCTACGTCTACGAAAATTCTCAATGACTTCAACAGAACTCATAGTATAGCGACTAACGTGCAATTGAGTTTAGTTCGGTCAAGGTCTTTTGTTGACCTATTTAATGGACAAGGTCATCCATGCTATAACAACTTGTTGTACTGTTATTATTATTGTGCTTGTATGAAATACATATGCTTGAATATTGTTTAGCGCCTACGCATGTATTCATTCTGCTAGCTTCACTATTAACTGCTTAATCTATTCGCTGACTCATCCATTTTCCTATACATATATATATATGTACATTTGCACCCATTCACTACTACAACTACTTGCTACTGCTACAGTCGTAGTTCGCTTGCTCATTCATTTTTCCTCTTTGCTGTCTGGCCCGAATTGTCTACTAAATAAACTGTAGTAGCTGCTTCCTTTTGCCTTCTGATCTCAAACACCGTTGAAGATAATACAATAACGGTTCGGGGGTGATTAGTTATCGAAGCACAGCCACTACAATAGTATTGGCCTAACAAGGTAATCAGTTACAATGAACATGAAAATCTGAGAGCACATCACTCATCTGGATCACGTAAGTTTTTTGTGATGGCTCCCAAGCATGTTACTGACCAGCAAGCATTGATGGTGAGGGCGATAACTTCAATCCACCCGTGTTTGTGGGGACAGAGCATTTTGTATGTACCAGGCTCTTTATAATTGAGAATAAGACAGTCAATCTGAGATATAGATTGTCTTCCTATGCTCACCACTCAGACTCATGTTTCCAATATTATTCTGGATTAGCTATTCTACTAAGACAACCTATAACATGCTAACTCGGACTTTTACACTAGGATTGCGTGGCCGACATCGGATGGACAAAAAGAAAGAAAAAAGACAATAAAAGATATAGTCACTAGTATTCTTAACACTACACCCTCTATATACACACCCTTCTAATAAACCGCTTCCCTTGTATCAACCTTGACTTCCTTTCCTTCATGTGAGCTTACTCCAACTTGTTAAATATCACAACTCGTTGTTCTTTATTAGTACATTCTCTAATATCGAGCCTCGGATTTCACTCTAACAATACAAAATATGAATTTATTCTGATTTATTCTACCTCTGTCCGTACTACTACACAAAGTTAAGCAACCTTTGGCGTTCATATCCAAGTGCCTTGTTGCTCTTCTGTTTCTCTTTTTTTCTTTTTCAGAATCTTGCTCTGAGAGCACAGCTATGAAACTTCTGACGTTTGGAAAAAACCTGACGTACGCGTCCTCTCAAGGTCATAGTTTACAGCAAGCGCTCTACGATTTCATTTTATAACAACCATAAACTTAATAAGTTTGGAAGCATTTTACGAACCAAAAAATGTTGTAATTTATAGATCATGCCTGTAAAAACGGTGTGTACCTGCACATGCAAAAATATATTATTATTATTATGTCGAAACACTTTAGCTAAACAACAAACGAAGTCAGTGTATATGCGTATCAACCGAGTGCCTGGTTCCGTATTTTGTACCTTGTTTTTATGACAATAGTTTTGTTCTTTGTTAAGCAGTGCCTTAATTCGTGGAAGGTTATGATAACTTAAGTTCTGGATGCGGTTCATTTAAATACTGTACGTTACGTATAATTGTCGACAAATTTCCCCCAAATACACGACGTGAGGGGGAAAAGCGAAATTTTCCATAAATAACCGAT